CAATAGCAAACAACAGCAATGCTTCTGAATTTTGTAATGATTTCAGTGTTTAATGTCTATAGAATGCTATCAAACATTAGTTGCAGTAAATAATTTATACAACGACAAATTTGGATACAGGAGCATTAAAGCTGATAAAATGATGGGAAGAAATAGTGAATATATTATCAAACTAAATACAAGAAGAAGGAATGGAAGAGGGGGGGAGGGTGAGGGAAGGAAGAAAAAAATAGAAAAATTAACCCGTTTCAAACAGACTTTGAATAATTCGATATTCCGTTGTACTCTAAAGCAATGGAGCAAACCATTCAGCATCTTTTCGATCACAATTCTCGTCGTATGGTGCTTCATGAATATTTGGATAGATTAGAAAATAAAAGAAACAAAATGTTACAAAGCCAAATAAGAATATCATCTGAAAGTTGTTTTTTTGTGATCAATTATTGATACTTAGTGATTAAATTGCTTTTTTTAGCATAAAAAAATGCTAAAAAGTTGTAGAATAATAAAAAAAAACTGCTGAACAAAAAAAACAGCAAACCTGTGTAAGACAATGAAACCGTTGCGTAAAACGTGGAGTAAATTCAATTTTTACTTTTGAAAAAGCTCTTGAATCTTGCGCGTCATGAAGTTCTGTAAAAAAAACAGATTAAACAAAAACTCAATAAGCATGTAGAGAATTTTTGATTACGTCTCGCTTGCTGCTTACCGGCTCCAGGAAATTTAAATTCTGCATTCATTGGTATAGCAGTATAACTACCAGTTACTGGTGAATACATCCTGCAGAAAAGGAAAAAGTTGTAGTTGTTGTTATAAAGAGTCAATAACAGTGTCGAACAAATAGATTATAGACAGTAACAATTACTTTCTGTACAAAAAACTGGATAAACTACAGTAAAGTTCTATTAAGCAGAAGTTTGTTTTGGCATTTCTAAACTTCTTCACGTTTTAAAAGATCAGCTTAAAATTGGAATACATTACGTTAACTTACTTATGGAGACCAACAGCAATACCAGCGGTAGCTGTTGGAAGCGCTGACGACAACCGTGAACGTCTATGCCGAATTCCATCGCTAGTCGGTTCACCGGTTGCAGAAATTCCAGCCACTATCGAGGTGTCACTAAGTTTATATGCTTTTAATGTTGGACTACCGTTGAATATGAAAAAGAAAAATCTGTTTTGTTATTAAATATGATTATATTATTATTTCATTAAAACAGTTCTTTAGTAAAATAATAAACTTGATGTAAAACATATGCGTGTTAACGTACCGTGTTATTTTTAATCTTTGCCGCATATACTTAATTATCGCTAATTTGATTAACGATAAAAATACGATACAAAAGCAAACACCTGAAAACGATAGATTCAAGTAGGCAAAATAAGGAAAAAATAAAGATTGACGTAGAAAAACAAACTAAAAAAAAGTATAAGTAGTTTTTTCAATAGAAAATTGACACTAAGTTAGTTGAACTGATTTTGAAAAGTGTGAGGCAAAGAAGAATAGTCCTTTAAATATATCAAACGAAACGCTTAATAAGATTTATATTGGTAACCAGGTAAATAAGCGTCAGTTTTAAAGGGTAGCATAGATTATTCACCTAAATATACGTCCATAGCTTTGATATAGCTGACCCGTGGCATAACTTCATTGTATGAAAATAGCAGAAATGTTATTGTAAGAATAATAGAAATCATATCCTGCAAAAACAAGAAAAAAAAACGATTAAATATGTAATATGTAAAAAATTAATTGTTTTGGTTAGAATTATATTCAAAAGTTGTAATAACAAGTGCAGTACCTGGAAAGACGTTTCGTTTTCCATCCACAAAGATACCCAAGAAGTGATAACAACAGCAGTTGAGGGAATAATTAACTGTAAGAAGCAGAAACCCGCAGACCTGGTGAATATAAAGCACACATAAAGGCGACTGTAGTTACCTGAAATTTTATGTTATTTTAAGTTTGTCAGAAAAATTAATAAGTTTGTTGACCTCATATTTATTTTTTAGCGAATTTGTAACAGTAGAAAAAATTTTTACATTAACAAACAATAAGCTTTATTTATTTTAGTCTAAATTTGTTTGGAAATGTAATACAAAGTGTTGATTTTT